CTGCTCGGGACAGAAGAGGACGAAGCCCTGAGGGCGCGTTGGAGGAAACAGATGCGGCGCTACTACGACAGCAACCGCGCCGTGCTACTGCCGCTTATCGCCGTCGGTGTAGCAGCTGTTTACGCTGCTGCAGGTCTTATGGTGTACAAGCTTCGCAGGCCGGTGGGAGCGAAAGTACATGAGTTCTTGCACAAGAAAGGACGTGGGAAGGTGGAAGAGCAACCGTCGTTCAGCGTCCTCGTGAATGCTGGGAAACGTGTAATACCAGCTGCGGTGGCTGTGGGTATTGCAGCCGCAGCTGCAGGTCTAATGTATAGCAAATATGATTCATCTAGCTTTTCCACGAGTCCGTTCGGTTGGGGAGGAGGCTCTCCTCCTGACAGGCGGTAGTGACCGCGCCACCAATGTGCGAAAGTGAGAGCAAGAAGATCGCACTACTGAAACAAAAGCATGATTGGCGCTGCGTTCAAAAGAGGGGCGCGGCACCATTGTTATATTGGAGCCATTCGGACGTAAGTGGCGCAACCCTCAGTTACATACCAGTGAAACAGAAAGTAAATAGACACACGCCACAGCATGTGCTCCCGTACTGCATCTGTTGAATGGCATTGTTCACTGCCAAGGGCATAGCGAGTGCAGTGTCAAGGCCCGGTGCAGCCGCAATGTACGCCGACGGCACAAGGAAGCCGTTCCGTGTAGGTGGTGCGTGCTGCATGCTGCGATACTTTGTGAGAAACGTCAAGGACATATGGCGCATCTCATCTAATGTGGGGGTGCATCAGCATAATGCGTCTCTCAAAGTGATGATAATCGGCTAGCGCTTCACCGATCCGTTCCTTGCAAACCCGCATCAAGAAGAAAACGAACGCGGCCCTCAGTGATGACAGTCGCGCCTCTAGACCCGTGCACACAACCTCTATCGCGCGCGACATACGATGCAGCGGGTTGCAGAGCAGCACCCGGTTTCTGTCAGGAGCGTCAAAGGATAAAGGTGCGGCCAGCTTGTGCTGATGCAGGTGACTGTAGTCTATACGTGCCCCACGCCACCTCGTGAGCAGCGTGGGACAGAGGCACGTATCCCTGTGTGCCCCTCTTGCGAGTGAAGGCTAGGCGAGTAAGTAAATACTGAGAACTTGCAGCGAGGCCGCGAACTACTGTCGACTGGACACACGGGTACACCGTAAGTCTGATGGGCTTGCATTCCGTGTAGGCAACGGCGGATGCTCTCGCCTACGCAGGCGCCCCCTGTGAGTCGGCCGTGCACGTGCACCTACGCGCTGAAGTGTTCACACGATGTGTCTCCGCATCACAGTCACAGGCTTCCTCCTGGTTACAGGCGAAACGCCGACGTGTGAGGACGAAGAGCCTTCGCAACTTGCGCGGCACTTGCACTGCACCGCCCTCCGGCGAAGGGAGGTGCCGGTGGTGAACCTGACAGTCCATGGAGAAGTAGCTGCGCTAGGCTTCCGTTGCAGCATGTGTACACCCATCAATCTCACTACAGTTTATGGCCAAAATTCTAGTAGCCCGGTCCCTGCAACAGGCGGAGCAAGCGGGGGCAGTGGTGTTTTTTGCTCCTATGTACGTACGTGTGAGGAACGTAGGACGCCGCTTATATTACAAAAACCCCGAAGAGAGAGGGCGCAGCGAGCTGCAGGCGTGCACCATTGAAGCCCGCATCGCCGCGGGGTAGATTCATACGTGTGTACCGTCGTCCTACGCATGAATGGCGCTGTCTTTGCAGGGTGAAACACCCCGCCCAGGTGCGCGTGTGCACTCGTCGCTGAGGAGCTCCACACCTGCAAAGTAGGCTCATACGTGGGCATCGTTGCCCTACGCGTGAAACGCGTTGTTTCCGCAGGTCGTTAAGCACCCTGCTCAGGTAAGCTTGTGCAATCGTGGCTGAGCAGCCCTTCACACGCGGCTTAAAGCACACAGAGACACGCGCAGCGCACCTGCGCAAGTCCATGCCGTGGAGAGCAGCTAAAAGCGAGGGACTTCGCAGACAAGTGACGCACACGGGTACTCCTGGAGAGCAGCTAGAAGCGGAGCCCACCGCTGACAACTGAGAGGCTGGATGTGGTGGGCGTGAACGTCGCCACGTGGCGGTCGTAGAGGTGTGGGCGGATTTACCAGGATTAACCGTTCGTGGCCGTGTAAAGCCGTTACCTCAGCACGTATGCAAGTACACACAGAGGAGAGACACACTGAGCAGACGCACCTCGCGTGCACGCATATACACAGGTGCATGATATAGTAGAATTAAGGGGCGCCGAGTGTGTGCAGCGTTCTTTGACAGGCGGCCAGCTGCCCACTGGTGTGCCCTATACACCTATTTACACAAAACAGTGTGAACGTAGGGGCGAAGATACCCAGGATCAGGTACCTGGATTAGCATAATACTGAAGAGTACGCATGCAAGTGGCCACGGGTGTGCGCTGACGGGTAGGGATGCTTGATTACGATTGGAAAACTCGCTGCAGGCGTAGGGGTTGTCTTTGCAGATTCGACCCCCGGGCGGACAATTTCCCTGGTCTGTGCGGAGGCAGCACCATCCTGAGTCGTCACCACGTGGTATCAGCACGCCCTGCACCCACTGGCGTGCTAACAGTTCTCACAGCACAACGCCGTCAGTTCCTGTCTCGTAGTCAGGTGAGGGCCGAAGGAGGTGACCGGTTCTTCCACTGTCAAAGAAAGTCAGCTTCTGCTCAGTGATCCTATCGTCCGGCATCCCGATGTGACACGGCGAAAGCGATTAATGCCCCCCCGCTTGGTCCTGCTCCGCACGTGGAAACCGTCTCAGTATGTAGGCGAAGGCGTCAAGACACGTTCACACGCGCGAGCAGAGCTGTGTACGCTACTCGGTACTGATGGTGCACTGCGGAACCCGCGGTATCCAACGGGGTACAGTTTGAGATACCCGCATGGCATTGCCGGCATAGCTGAGGCTGCCGGTACTACTTACTGTTGTAATACTTCTCACACATACCGGAAAAGAGCTGTGAGACATCGTCTCGGGAGCGAAACGTTTGCGTCGATGGCTGATGACTCCCACGCAGAGCAGGAATCGTGCAACACGCGTACTCCAAAGGGAAGCGGAAACGTCTGTGGCTTGAAGGTTAAAAAGGCATGTGCGCGCTTGGACGAAAGGCAAAGCTTAGTTCGCCCGAGTGTGGGTGTGTAGATGCACCAGCAGTACCAGTTATTCTGCTCGTTTCAGATACTCATCTGGGCAACGAGACCAATCGAGGACGCCACCGCCCCCGTGCATAAATCAGCTCTATATCCCCGCATCTGTCCCCGCGACGCAGGGGAGAGCTGCTGCGGACCTTGCTGTCACGATGGCGCGCACCCTGCATATGAGCGGTCCCGTCTTATGGAAGAGTGACACCTGGAAGAAAGACATTTCCTTTGCAAGGCCTCTTGATAACACGTAGAAGAACAAGTCTCAGCAATTGTGACCGCCGCAGCACGATGGAGTGTTCCACTACGAGAGGGCGAAGGGCGCGTAGTCCGGCTTGTCGGTGGTCTTCCCCAATGGTAGAAGCTAAGACGAATGAAATGCTATCCAGAAAGGTGTGTGCGTACCCCATCGTTTACCTCCACCTCCATACGTAAATACGCGTTTGCTTTCGTACACATGCATGCATATGTGTATGTATATCTCAGGTAAGCTTGCCCGGAATCACGCCCCGGTATTGTTCCGCGTATTTTAGTCGTGTCTTTGGCACACTCTGGTTGAAGCTCGTATCTTTATGTATGTATGTGCACACAAACGAGTTCTGAAGACAACCGCACGCACACCTGTGACTGGTGCGGGAGCACGTGCTGCCCTGCTTCGCTAAGCCTGGAAGCCGGGAAAGGACCTCATGGTGTACTAAACCTTGCCGTTTAGAATTACACTATACAAGACACCTGATGCGTATTCTGCTCTGCAGGCCCCTGAGAGACCTCATAAAGTACTAATTAGGATACAACAGGACTGTGCAAAACAGGACCCCTGATGCGTATCGCGACGTGCTGAACAGGCAGGCCGCACTACTGAGCGTCTCTGGAGCAGCTCAAGGCTTGAAGTCAGATAACCCGTGCCGGAAGGCAGCGCAGGTAGACGGAGCAGATCAACGTATCCGGGGACTAAGACATGCTCTTGAAACTGTAGATAGTACAGCGTTTCCCTATGCAAAGGATAGGCCCCCTACCTGCTTTGCTTTCAACATCTTTGCTTTGCTTTGACGGGCGCTTCCTTACGGATGATGAGGCAAGATCGCTCAGTGCGCGTAGAACTTCGCTCGCGGGTGAAAGGCGCGGCAGTAGCAGGGGGGCCAAGCTTTGTATGATCCTACGCGGCAGCGGCAGCGGTAGGGAACCAGGGCGAAGAGTACGCGTGTGCAGAGACTTGATGTCTGCAGGACAGGCACAGCGCGCGCTACAGTCTGGATTCTTTTTGCCTTTTTCGATGTGTGAGCCCAGCACGACGAGCTTCCGCCGCCCCGGCGCCACTCTTCTACACACTTCCTTCCGTGGAATGTACTGCTTTGAAGCTTCTCTGGCGCGTCTTTTGTGCTTTTGCGTGACATCGCTCTATCTGCCAGCTTGCAACGCGTATTGGTATAGATACGGATAGAAGGGACGGCACAGGGAGGCGGCGAAATACCCTACGCACACCGCCTGTGACTCCCTTTGTGACGGATTGTCCTCTTGTTGACTTATTATAGTACCTATCTTCCCTTCGGGTGTGCAGCGCACAGGCAGCCAAAACCTAGTGTGTTTGATAAGTGTAGCGCTCGCGTTCAATAGCGAGTCTTGTGCAGTTCTGTGACGCCAGCGCGGCTTCCGCGCTGCCGTACACTGCCCTTCCTATGTGGCATGTCACGAACACAAAGACAACTTTCTTCCAGCGCAGTTCGCTGCAAGCTGCGGGCGCAACCGGATACCTGTGTGCCTCCAAGTAGCCTACTAAAATGCCGGTAATGCCGGTGTGAGAGTGCGCGCGGGGCATGCCGTATAACTTTGCTTTTGGGCTATGATTTCCGACATGGAAGTTCGACAGCTGATGGTCCAGCTGAAGCTCGCGTATGTCTTCTCGCCAGACAAAGTTGTGGAAGGCTAAGACAGGCGTAACATCCAAAGAGGCGTCCGCAGGGTGTGGCGTACTGCCGATAGGAAGACAACCGGTTTTCCGGCGTACGGTCTTGCGTGCTACGGGCGAAATCGGATACCTAGCCACGAATATGTGGTATAGGCACTAAACAGGTTATAATAGCTGCGCAGGCGAACGTGTGAAGTATGCCACTCGCAGGCTTCTTTGTAAGGTGATGACTGAAGTGCCGACAGCGCGGCGGCTAATGGTCCAGGTGGCGCTCGCGGGTGTCTTGGCGCCAGAGGAGCTTGTGGAAGGCCGCAAAGGAGAATATACTCGAGGAGGCCCCATTAATACTCGTAATTACCTCGCGAACCTATCCGCTGAATAGAGACTCCCCCCAGCGTTACAGCAAGGCAAGGCGATGCAGGAGAGCTCTCCGACGCCCTGCCGCTTACACTTCAGGAGGGCGGTCCCACACAGACGTCCACTATGGTAGCACCACTTCGAGGCTCATTTTTAATCAATGTTACGAACGCGTCGTCATGTGCATCGGCGGCAGGACTGTACCAACCGCCATAACGCTGCTGAAGGTACGGCTCCGCGTTATTGGCGACCCATTTGGCTTGGTTGTAGCGCAGACAAAGCTTTTGCGGTTTGAAGCAGCGACAATCTCCGTATAAACGTACTTGAGAGCATGGCTAGACCGACTGCAGGCGATCGGCTGCTGGTCCGGCCGCTCGTTTGCCTCCAGTGCGGGTTAACTTAAAGAGGGCCTCCTCTTCCGCAGCTTGTCAAAACCTTTGTACGTTCCCAGAGTAAACATACGGCCGATGTACCCCGGGCCTAACCGCTTTCAGTCATTTTCTATGGTGATTAGAAACGTGCCGCTACCCACGGCTGTACGCCTGTGCTCACAGCTGTTGTGTCGGTGTCAATGGTGCGGCAGCAGTATGAGAGTCGCAGACGCTCGATAGGCGAGGCAAACAAGCAGGCGAGAACAGCTAGCTCCAGTCGGCGTTGTATGCAGGAGCTGCGGAGAAAAAAGTTCCCCGTTTATATATCACCGCTTGTTTGAATACAAGTATACTTGTCTGTGTACACACAAGCATACAAACGATCATTCAGGATGTAAGCGGCCGTCGGTCTCTGGGGTTGCCGTACGAGCACACACGAGGTGACTGAGTTTCTTGTGGCTAGCCGCATGGTTCTTCGCTTCTTGCAGAAGAAAGCTGAGCATCTATTCTGGGTGCCTGCGCCTCTACGTCTATCGCCAGCCAGCAGCCGCATGGAGGGCAGAAGCAGGTGCTCGAAGGCTCGCGTAGCTTGTCGTCAGGCGCACTCGCACGAGAGAAGGTGTTGTCTTCTTTCTGGGCTTCTAGCGCTTTACTGAAGGCCGCCCGACAGAGAGCTGCACTTGCAGCTGTATCTCTGATGTTCATTTACAGTTTTTCACGACGCTGAGAAAGGTACAGCTACCGGCAGTGACAATCCGTCCGTGCAGTTGTGAATGCCGCTAGTTTCAACGTAAGCAGCTTGCATCGTTGCTTTCCGCTCGGTGCGGCTGCGACACCGAAGAGCACGTTGTTTGTATCCTTTCCCCGGGAGTCGTGCAAGATAAGCGCGAGAGGCCCGCTTATTTTGCTGTCGACTCAGTGCGGGCGGTTGCATACTGGCACACGTAGCACCCGCATCTTCAGACACAAAATGTGTAAAATTTGTAGAAAGACACAGCAGCACGTGATGCAGCGAGGATTTTTTTTGGCCCTTAGGGCATGGCCTATAAGGAAAAGAATATCTACAGAGACCGCAGTGAAGGCGGCACCAGCAGCAACACAGTATTGGCAGCAGTGTATAGAGGTGAGTCAATGAAGTTGTGGCGACTGCTGCACGAACTGCTGCCAGAGCAGGGATAAGCCGGTGTATGGTAAACTGCTGCCCAACACAGAGAGGGTGAGGAGGAGGGCTGGAAAACCTCCCAACAGCACCGGCTCCCCCAGCACGGCCGCCGCCTCAGGAGCGGCAGCATATGGACGGAAGCCGGAGAATCTCGTTTTTATGTGGCAACAGACTGAGGCGGAGAAACGGAGCGTTTACGCAGCGCAACGGCCGAGGAAGGCCGGTATGTAAAACGCCCGGATGGGAAGTCGTCCACGCAGCTTAGCGAGACGACGCTGCTGTTTCACAGATTTGGTCCCCCCCAGTGAAAAGACGATCGGAATGGGGGAAGACCGTGGCTTCGATAAAGAACAGATACTACCAGCAAACAGGCACAACGCAGAAAGTAGGCCACTTACGTAGTCCAAGTAATTTTCTGTTCTATGCTAGCGCGCTTCACAAGAGAAATACTGCTCAACGGCAGCGCGGGTGGGCGCTGAAAGCAGCAATCAGCGTAGAGTTGATAAGGCAGACGCAACAGCCGCAGTAGAACAATACGAAGGGCAACGGGCTAGCGGTTTTCGCGTTTCAGCTGCTCGTCCGACTGAAAGCTAGTAACGTGGGTGTGTCACACTTATCGTGCGTGTCTCACAGTCTGATGCAGTCACACGTACGGAGGACCCTCCACCCGCTGCTGGTGTAACTGAGGAACCTGGGCGCCGCTGAGAAGGGCTAATCTGTACAGTTTCACACTTTGATGCGGTCACACGTACGGATGGCCTGCCACATATCTTAATACAGAATGTAAACCGCTCTTCCGGGAACGGCCCCCAAAAGCAGGAACAGTTGTGGCAGTCGCAGGATACAGGCCGAGCAGCAGCGATAACTGCAACCCACAGGCTTGTTGCTAGCGCGCTTCACAAGAGAAATGGGCAGACGAGAAAGACAGTATAGGCAGAGCAGCAGCCAAAACCAAACAACCGGAAGGCTGGGTGCTAGTGAACCTAGAAACAAAAATACGCAGATCATGAAAAGAGATGGTGCGCTTTCGCGGAGCTTGTCCGCGCAAGAGGAGATGCAGCGGGCAGGCGAGCGTCGGCAAGTGAAGACCGGTAATGTCGTTAAGCAAACCTGCTCCCCTGTGTGCCGCCTAGCTTCTTTGTTCTTTCTCACAACCCTGGAAAGACACCTAGTTCTAATCAAGCGACGCCGGTACACGCTCAGAAAAGTCGATCGACTGTTCTTCTATGCTGCAGCCTTTAAGTCAAGAAGGCCGCTTCGAATGCTGTAGTTCTCCCCGAGGCGTTGCTCTCCGATGCTGCAATAATCAGGACGAAAAGGCTGTTTCCCGGTCTGTACCTCTGTCTGAGTAACTGGCCCGAACCTTGTGATTTGTGTGTCTAGTGTGGGACTCCTGCACCCGCTCGCCTAGGTAGAGCACTTCTGCCAGGTAGGCGCGATGCCGCTTTGTGCGAAACGACTGCGAGACTGATCAAGCAGTGTCGGCGAGTACTTCACAGAGGGGTGCGGTAGCAGATGCTTCCTCGTCTGCCCTTTTGCAAGACGGCCGGAAGACTGAACAAGAAGTGTCGGCGACAGACGCATACTCTGCATAGATGTCCCGTACGCAAATGTGCTTGTGCGTGAGCTTTCGCAAAACGACCGGAGAAATAAGCAAGCATCGCCGATGAGAGACGAGTACTTTGAATAGAGGTCTTGTACGCCCGTCAAAATGGGAATAAGACATCCGGCAGAGAATGGGAATTTTTCACAAAATTCATCACTCCCGTTAAAGGCATACAAAGTCCATTCGAATGGTGTAAGGCGTCTCGTTAAAGGTTCTCCTAGGGGGAATGAGAACTTTTCACAAGGAGCCTCACTTCGGGCAGAGGCGTACAACGCCAATTCGAATACTTTCTGGCGCCTGGATCAATCTACGTGTAGACAGAATGGGAACGTCTTACAAAGGCCATCACTCCTGCCAGCGGCGCGCAGGCTCGGTTCAGATGATACGCGGCGCGTTAGTCAAGGCGCGTGCACCCGAACGCGAAGCTGTCCACAGAAGCCGTCACAGCTCCTGGCAGGGGCGTACAAAGTCAGGTCAAAGAATACCTGGCGCCTCAGTCTACGTCCTTCTAGACAGAATGGCGACGTCCCTCGGGAGCCGTCATTCCTGCCGGAGGCACACAAGTTCAATTCGGACGAGACGAAGCACCTCAGTCAAGGTTCGTACAGATAAGTGAACACGTATTTTTGTCAACCCGACACCTCTGGCCGGCCTACTATACGGTGGCTCTGAGTACGACTTCAGGAAAAGAGGGCCAGGCTGCCCAACATTCCAGTGCGTAACGGCAGAGCTAGCAAATCACAGGTGTGTATACGTTTGTGCGTGTCTCGCTTGAACAGGCCTGCATACGTATACATATATATGTATATACGCATACGGAAAGGTCGTCAACGTGCATGTACAGGTGATAGATAGAGTAATGATCGATGCATACTTCTGCAGCCGAATGCATACGAATACGAGGCGAAGCGCCTTGCTGGAGAAAGATACACCGCTGTAGCCGGCAGATGCGTCCGCCCATGTAATATCATTCGGCAGGCAGTTGACTAGCTCGTGCTGCTTCTCTAGTACTGTCTCCGTCCGTCTGTGTGTCCGAGAATATAGGAACACAGAGAGGCTTGCCTGTATGTCTGGGTACAGTACACGTACGCTTGAACGCGAGGCGCACGTCAGGCTGCTGTAGTTGCACACCAGGTCATGCGATGTAGACTTCCCAGTGCGTGCAGCCCCGTACGCATCCACCTGCGTGACTCCGTGTGTCTGTGCGTCCCTCTCTTTGTGTCTTGCAGTCCCACTGCCCCTCCTCGGTCCGCCGCCGCCTCCTCTACACTACATTCACAAATATATACAAATATACGTGCATTTGCAATTGTATGTATACGTGGGCGAGAACTTATACGGACGTGCCTCGGCAGGTTTTAACCGTGGCATGTCACGGACGTACGTGAAATCTAACAGGATCCCTAAATACTTTCCGGTGACCTACGACTTATATATATACTGATTCCGCTACTCTACGTGCTGGCACGCGTCTCGTGAACAGAGATGTCCCCGTACACATAGTTGCTGGCTCATTGGTCAGTGCGCATTTGCGGCCAGAAACTGTGCATACGCACGCGGGGTTTTCTGCGTGCCTGCCTATGTCTTTCTCTTCTTCGTATGAAAATCGCCATAGGTTCGTCCTTACCCATGTTGAGCAGCAGATCTTTCCCTACAGAGGACCCAGGTCCATAAGGCGTCCCCCTTGTAACTTCCCTGCTCCCACCTCTCTTTTTCCCCTACTCTGCTGCGCTTTTAGTTGTACTTGCTCCGTCTGATTCGTTTGCTATAGTCCTTACTTGTCAAAATATACGGCCTCCGAGAGCACTTCTGCCTCATGCCTCGACATAGTCTCTCCGCTATGTAACTGCTGCGTGACACGTACGAGCATTCCTCTAGCTTTCTGCTCCCTTTCTCTCAGTTCGTCTCAGTCACCCAGACGCTCAGTACAATCCCATTGCGAGAGGTGCACGGAGTCAAATATGGTCTTCCAGCTATTCGCTCACTTACCATCAACTCCTGCATTCATCGGCTTCTGAATATAGCCCCAGCATGACGCGTACAACGGGCCTTCTACGAGCTTTCACCTATTCGCTCACTTCTGAGAATGTTGTCTGTTCATGAGGTTCTGAAAATTTTTTCACCATGACAAGTACAAGCCGGGTAAGGCGGCCACTGAGCTATTTGCGCCCTTCTTATCGATAACTTCATCAATCAGCTTTTGAACGTCGCCGCCTGTGTATTTCCAATTTTTTAGCTATGCTGGTCTTCGTCCTCGTCATCCGTCTTCCTTTCTCCTTTTTTAGCTCCACATGTCTTCCCACGTATCCTTCTTCTACTCCTTTCTGTGTAGTAGCTTCACTTTCTTTTTTCCTTATCCTGTATTCTTTCTTCTGAGTCTTCCAGCTTCACCTTTCTTCTTGCACGCCCTTCATTCTGCCTTCTGAACATTTTCGGGCTTCTTCTGTGTGCTTCAGAAAAAGAGCAAGTCCGGTTACCTCGCTTCTCTCGCCGCCTCGCACCCGTTGCTGTGGCAGTAGCTCTCCTCCTTCTTTCAGCTCAGATATTCTGCGTGCACTCTCATGGCCAACCTTTCCCTTCCTCTCCCTTCTCCTATCCTGCTTCTTCTTGTTTTTCCTCTTCCTCCTCTCCGAGTCCGCGTTCCTCCATCCCTTTTCCTTGTTCTTCTTCCTCTTCTTTGTCCCCCCTTTCTTCCTTTCCTACGTCCACGTCCTTATGTATCTCTCGATCGTCCTCAGCTGAGGCTTCCTCCTCACTCCGCGCCTCTGATTCTTCTCCTTCTTCGTCTTCATCGTCTTCGTTTACTTTCCCGCCTTCTCCCTTTGCCAATTCTTCCGCACGAGAGACTCCGCCCCTTTCCTCCAGACATCTTTCTGCGACTCTGCTGCATGAGGAAGAAGAAGACGAAGTTGTACAAAGTAAGGGAAGAGATGCCTTCTATATGCAAAGGGAAAGATGAAAACGTTGTGTATCAGGCTCTGCCGGAAACCAATACAGCATATGCGACAATATGTATGCAACAAAGGAGAGCAAGCCTTTGGTCAGGAATGCTGCACATGTCTGTACATGTGCATATATATATATATATATATATACGCGTATATATATGCTTGGCACATGTACGCTGCAAAGCAGACAGAGAGTCTTACATGTATGTGTATGTATGTATGCATCTGTGTGAATGCGAATGTATCTCTGCACGCACATACCTGTTCACGTTGTCCTGTGAAGGCGCATATAAGGTGTGGAGCAGATGTACAAATATACGTATGTGGGTGGTATGGTGGGTTTGAGAGCGCAGTGAAGTGAGGCTCGCACATGTGCATGTGTACCCAGATAGACAGATATATCCGGGTATATACGCGTGTACATGTGTATCTATAGAGGTAGAGGCTAAACGAAGTAAAAGTAAAGTCTCCATCGTGAGCTGCTCAACAAGACAGACCGCAAGCCCAGATGTCTCGCGACAATGAGAGACAGCTGCATTTGTACATGCTATCCAGAGGGCTCACGTCTTGCACGCCGTGCTTGGCTGCTAATGTACATAAGTGTATATATGTATACAGGTGTATATATAGATGTATATTTGTGTAGGCTCTGTATGTGCCTCCGCGCAGGCGCGCGTGCGTGTCTCAGTATATGCGTGCACACAGTTGGGAATTAAGTGTCTGCACCACACATGCCTCTACGTCAGATACTCCGCGTAGGGGTATATCTAGGAATACTAGCATACAGGATCAGATAATTTCGTCTGCATCACTAGCCAGTTACGGCTTTAGGTCCACTCTTGCCTATACAAGACGTCCTTATCTTGACACATATACGTATATATGCGCGCCATGTATACAAATCCAGTTTACGTATACGTATACCTTTGTATATATTCGTGCGTACCACGTGTGTACGCTTAAGATGGGTGTTACATTTTTAGAATATGCGTGACTGTCTCGTACAAAGGCTCCTTTCACATCTGGGGGATAGTCCTACAAATTTCTGTTCCTTTGTATGCTTGGTGTGGTGTGTCCCTGTCCGCAGTCCGCAAACCTTACACAGACCGACGAGAATATCGGTACTTGTCATTATCTAACAAGATGAGAGTGCTGCTGATAACAGACAGTTCGTGTGACGATGCAGCAGCATCGATACGCGTGGCTGCCGGCTCTGCAGCAGATCCGCCGGAGCTCCCAGGCCTGGCCCATTTCACAGAACATATGCTTTTTCAGGGGTCTCAACGTTACCCGCATCATACTGACTACTTCGACTATATACACAGACACGGAGGCTCTGCAAATGCTTATACAAGTAGATTCTCCACTGTTTTTTCTTTCGCCATCACGCCCGCCTTTCTGTTGCCAGCGCTAGAACGAATGGCCGATGCCTTTGCCGCTCCTTTACTCAATAAAGCACAAATGGACAAGGAGGTCCACGCAGTACATGCAGAGTATCAGGTGGATATAAATGACGATGCAAGAAGAGCCGCTCATCTGGTTCGGCAAGTAAGCTTCCTACCTCTGTTTCCCTCGCTCTATTTCCTCTTTCTCCCTCTCCTACGTACAAACATATACATATACATATATATCTATATATATACATACATACATACATATGTCTTCGCCTCTCACTACGCATGTGGAGGCATACGTATATGTGTTCGCGCATACACGTATATACATACACATATATGTACATATATATATATATACATATATATATGTACAGCCTCTTTTCGGATGTCTTCCTATATAAGGTGTGAGGCCTTCGATCCTTTCTCTCTTCGATCTACTCAGAATCATACATGTGCACATCCGTTCATGTACACTACTCCCTCGGCCCTGCGTTGCTATATATGTCTATGTGCACACAGAATCGCACGTTTTCACATGTAAATACAAAATGGCGAGGAGAAGCAAAGGTGGAAAGGCTTGCTGTTGATGCGGCTGCTGGGGAGAATGCGGTAGTGACAATGGTTATTGTGGTAGTGGTGGACGTGGAACGTGGGTGTCGACCGCCATCACACTGCGAAGGCCACCGCTACAGTAGAAGACGCCTACGTGCATACGGAGTTACACGTTTTTTACATCTATACGAAATAGTGAAGAGAAGCAAAGGCGAGAGGCTTGCTGAATATTAGCATGGGGCTGGGGTGGGCCACTGACGGTGAATGTGATGGTTACTGTCGTAATGATGGATATGGAGGGTCTGTATCCACCGTTGTTACACTGCGAATGCCACTGCTACAGTAAAAGACTACGAAGAAGTACGTACACGAACACTCGCACCTTCCGTGTGCTAGGCCTACACGCACGTCCGTGTATTAAAACGTCCAGTAACGATGGAAACAGTTGATGTGGCATGCGAATAAGGTACGGCACCCACATTCCCAGAGGGGGGCGAAAAAAGGAATGCCTGCCTAACGCACAAGGGGCGGGAACTACCTTCCTACATCTAGCTGCACATATACGCATATATGTATGTACATATACATATGTATATACATGAATACATATATATATATATATAGATAGATAGATAGATAGATATATGTACGTGTGCAGATACACATACATGTACGTGTAGGTGTAGAAGTTTGATTTCAAAAAGGGTAAGGAGGTACGCCGGCGGAGCGAGACACAGAATGACGAAAAGACAGATACGTGAACGGTCTCTAATGTAAAGAAGTACTGCGCGCACACCGCAGAAAAGCATGAAGGCATTCACCTGTCGAGAAAAAAAGCGATGTTTATCCCACCTACAACTAGCCACGGCCGCTTATTCGGATACGCATATATATATATATATATATATATATATATATTTACGTATATGCACACTGAGAGACTAATCCGTGGATAGAAGTATATATACACACGTGCACGTATATGTATATGAGATGTCCTATAACAAGGGGAATGCAAAATACAGAAGACCCCGCTTTCCGCTTTGGAGAGAGACATAAACAAACGCAAAAGGAGACGAGCAGAAGGCGGGGCCGTCTGCCATCAGAAAAGTACGGTACTCACCCCTCACAGGAGCGTCAAGTTTGTTCCCAGAAGAAGGCATGTGTCTACCTTACTTCCGAATATCCGGGCCCACCAACGTATGCACACACGTTCGTATATATACATATACGCACATACATACGCATATATATATATATATATATATACACGTATAGGTCCGCATGTTGTCTTACAGTAAGGAAAAGGTATACTTATAAGGTTACCCTTCTCGGTGGGAAGACACGCAGAAAGAGGAAACAGATAGGCAAGAGGTACACGGGGTGCAACAAGCAACCAATTGTAACACATGCTCGCAGGAATGAGTATTTGTGGTGCAACAGGGACAAAAGAACGTACACAAAAGGTATAGGCAGGAAGTGAAGGGGGATGGTCTTTGTCCTCATTTTCTGAGAAAGGTAGAAGAAGGTGCAGCAACCTGCAAAGATGAGTGCGTATGCAGCTTTAACGCTGCGGACGAAATACAGATTTATATATGTACATATATAAATGCACCAGTACATCGCCCTGGCGAGAGCGTTCCAGCACCTATGCGCCCTAAGGTGTAGGCGTGCCAAAGAAGATATATATCGATCTATCTATGTATCTGTTTATAGACCTGTACGTACCCGTGTGCTCAGGTTGATACGCCGTTGTCTATGTATATACACATGTATATATATATATATGTACATGCATGTTTTTATAGGAGTGCGCACTTGTGTGTGTCTCGGTGTGCCTGTACTCTGCATAGCCGCATAAATTTTCATAGACAAGCGCCTGCTGTGTGCTAATGCCTACGATGAGCTACTCACCCGTGTCACCGATAGACAGATAGGCTAACTCGTATCTATTCATTTTTCTTTTCATTTCTGACGACGTTTCAGCCTAACGGAAAACAGCCCAGCGCCCTTACTAGTGTTTGTATTATCCTGGTTCTCCTGCTTTCACTCCGCCTGTGTACATGCAGAGTAAAAAGGAGACGCCCTTCTCTCGCTTCTCAGTGGGGAACTTAGACAGTTTATCTGTGGGTCCCCAAAGAAAAGGGTATTGATCTACAAGAGGCAATGAGGAAGTTTCATGATACGTGGTAAGGCAGGGCAGCTGCACGCGTATACGTCAAACAGGATCGAGAAGTCCACAAAAAAAACATAGTCATGTGGACGTTTAGACGTGTACATGCACCTCTACATATATACGTATATACGCATACACGGATCTGTACATAAACGTGTGTGCGTGTGGGTATATACACGTATACATATAACTACGCACATACACACATGTATACATGTGTGAATATGTGCTAATATATACGCTTATGTGGGATTAGGCTTACACGTCTGCCTATACATATGTACATATATTTATGTACGTAAGCATGTACGTACACGTATACATATGTTGACCTGCAGAAACCCGCGCATACACATGTTATATACGTGTGTAGGGATAGGCATATATGTCTGCATACGTAGATCTACACGTATGCATACACTTATGCAGGTATATATATACATATGTAGACCTGTATACGTATGTATGTATATACATTATGCTTGTGAGCACTTGCAGACACTCGTGTACGGGCGCATATAGGAGGTTATAGAAACGCACAGACGGTGCCACTATACGCACACTGTTGCAGCCGTCTTCGTCTAGCCCCGTCGACAAGAGGGGAAATGCAGGAATGCGTGACGTGGAGGCATGCTCACTCCGACGGGGTCCTCTGGAACGCATATATGAAAGTATACATATGTACATATATGCATATATATTTATATGTATATGTACACACATACGTAGATATGTGTACGCTGATATATGCGTATATGCCCGTTGATATACATGTGTATGTAAACAGCTATCTATTATGTGTGCATGTCGTGCGATATATGCAGATATGTCTGAGTGCGTGCCTCACGGTGACGCGCCTACCTGTGTAGCCTGTGCAGTTTATGCATGAGCGGTTTCCTGACCCTCGCTGTGCTCACCTGCTTCTTAGGAGCTTCCTTTTTGCTCCACCTCCTTCTTCTTACTACGGTTCTACATATATACATATATATGTCTAAATAGATGAACGTGAATATATACGTATATATAAGAATACGTACACATATACGGACATGTATATGTGTTTCTTCTTCTCCTTCCTCTGTGCATGTCTCTCTCCCTTGTCCTTCTTCTTTTGCTGCTTCTTCTTGTGCTTTCTCTTCTTCCTTTGTACCTTCTTCTTTTTCCTGTCCTTCTGTTTCCACGTTAACTTCTATAATTCTTTTTTTCTGTGTACAGCCCGCTAGCTATTTGTTTTGGTTTTTTATGTTTTCTTCGTCCCTGTTGTGGCTTGAGCGCCTGTTGCTGTTTCACGTCTTTCTGTCTTGCTCGCTAGCTGTGTTTCTTGCTAGCTACGTTCCCAATGACTCCTCTAGTCTTTTCCTCTTTCCTCCTCGTATCTCCTGTTTCTTCTGCTTTGCGCTTCTCCTCTCTCAGTCCCTCTCTCTTCCTCCGTCTTCCTTGCTAGGTAGTTGTTGGTTCCGTCTTTTGGTCTTCTTCTCTTCTTTCTTCTCTCTTTTACTCGTTCTCTTTCCCTGTGGCTCTTTCTCTCTCTGTCTTTTTATGCCTTCTCACTAGCTCATTCTTCATTGACTCTTTTCCGTTTGTCCTCGTCTTCGTCCTCTCTTGTTTTCTGTCCTTCTTGCTCTTTGTTTCTTCTTTCTCCCTACGCGTTCCTGGCTACTGGGCCCCCGCTAAACACCTGTCCTCTTTCACTCATCCTCCTCCTCTCTTTCGCTGCCTTCCCCTCTCTAAATTTCCGTACCTTTGTGTTGTAGGTCTCTGCTTCTTCACCGCCCTCTTATTTTCTCTTCGTCCTCTTCTTTTTGTGTTAATTTTTTTCTTTTCTTCCTAATTGAATAGGTACTCGCCGAATTTGATGACTTTGGCTGTCGTAGGCGGGCCACCACTTTCCAAACTGGAAGCCTTTGTCCGCAATCGATTTGAACAAATTCCCAACAGAAATGTTCCTCCGCCTTCTTATGAAGAGTGCGGCCCTGACTACCTTCCACTGGATCCTTCAGAGCTACGTACGCAGGTAATTACCGTCTTTTTCCTCATTTTCTCCCGCGTTTCTTCCTCCTTTTCCTTTATGTGCTTCTGCTTCTTCCTCCTATCACTAGCTTGCGTTCTCCTCTTCACGTAGGAGCTCTACCGACTCTTCTCTGTGCGGCCCTGACTACCTTCCACTGGATCCTTCAGAGCTACGTATGCAGGTAATTATTTTCTACTTCGTCCTTTCTTCCTGCGTTTCTTCCTCCTCCTTTTCCTTTGTATGCTTCTGCCGCTTCCTCCTATTATTACCGTTACGTTCTTCTCTCTACGTAGTTGCTCTACCTACGCTTCTCGGTGCGGCCCTGACTACCTTCCACTGATCCTTTAGAGCTATGTGTGCAGGTAATTATTTTCGTCCTCATCTTTTTCTTCTGCGTTTCCTCCTTCTTTTCCTTTGTGTCCTTTTGCTTCTCTCTTCTATTATTGCCATTACGTTCTTCTCTTTACGTAGTAGCTCTACCTACTCTTCTCCGTGCAGCCCTGACGACCTTCCACGGGATCCTTCAGAGCTACGTATGCAGGTAGTTTTTTTCTTCCTCGTCTTTTCCTCCTCCGTTTCCTCCTTCTTGTACTTTGTGTGCTTCTGCTTCTTCCTCCTATTATCACCATTACGTTCTTTTCTTTACGTAGTAGCTCTACCTACTCTTCTCTCTGCGGCCCTGACTACCTTCCACTGGATCCTTCAGAGCTACGTATGCAGGTAGTTTTTTTCTTCCTCGTCTTTTCCTCCTCCGTTTCCTCCTTCTTGTCCTTTGTGTGCTTCTGGTTCCTCCTCCTATTATCACCATTACGTTCTTCTCTTTACGTAGTAGCTCTACCTACTCTTCTCTCTGCGGCCCTGACTACCTTCCACTGGATCCTTCAGAGGTACGTATGCAGGTAATTGGTCTCTTTCTCGTCTTTTCCTCCTGCGTTTCCTCCTTCTTTTCCTGTGTGTGCCTTTGCTTCTTCCTCTTATTACCAGCGTTGCGTTCTCCTGTTTACGTGGTAACTCTACCTACTCTTCTCTCTTTTTAAAATAGAAAGGTGTCCGCGTCTCCTTCCCCTGCGTTTCCTCTTCCTTTCCCTTTGTGTGCTTCTGCTTCTTCCTTTTATTGTAACAGTTACGTTTCTCCCTTTACGTAGTACCTCTACCCACTCTTTCCGGTACATGGAATAGGAAGGTGTCCGTGCCTGCGTGCCAGGACTGTAGCACTCACTACAATCTCCTGACCCTCGAGAGCTAGCTATGCGGACACTATTCCTCTTATTATTATTCTTATAAGTACTCCGAATCCTAGGAGGAGATGGACTAATAGCAGTAGTAGCGTGGCCTTCTCCTCTTTCCGTTGTATCTGTTACTTGTTGTCGTATTGCAGTCGTGCCCGGTGGAAAATAGACAGCAGGCCGTAAGACCATGACAGGATACAGTGGCAGAGACCACCACCGGCCTCGCAGTTCACAGAAATGTAGCATACCTCTGCAAATGAGGTGATGGTAGGGCAGGATAAGTGTGCGCTCAGGTTTTTTCCTCGCACATCTCCAGATACCTATATACACATATATGTACACATTTACCTCTTGACATATAGACAGATACGTATATATTCACATCTAAACACGTGTACCTTTACGCGCGCATTTACGGTGGCAGAGGCCAGCAATGGCGTCGTAGCTCATAAAACGTCACACACCAGTGCAAAGCAAGTGGTGGTAGAGCAGGATAAGTGTGCGCTCAAGTTTTCTCCTCACACACCTTCAGACACCTATATACACATATAGGTATACATTTGCCTCTTGACATATATACGGATACGTATACATTCACATCTAAACACGTGTCCCTATACGCATGCGTTTAGGTTTATACAGATACACAGATACGTTGCAGATATATGTGTCTGTATACGTATACGCGCCCATATAGCTGTGCACGTGCATCTGATCGAATGGGTATATGAAGGGACAAAGGGTCCTTATCTAGCAACTCTTGCCATGAACGCATGCACCTCCACTGGGCAAAGTAGGGGAGACCACATGACCACATGCATTGAGTTGTATTTAATCAGGTCTGCATGCACTAGATCGATAGGAAGGAGTGACTGTACGAATGCGTGCGCCACTAGCTACCTAGATGAGCATGTTTACAGGTACATATACATTCACATCTGTTCACACGTACATATACGCATGCACCCACGTTTATACATACACACAAATATACTGCATATATATGTATCTGTATACGTATACATGCTCATATAGGTGTGTACGTGCATGTGCTTGAATGGTTATATGATATGACAAATGGTCATTATCTAGCAGCTAGTGCTGTAAACGCCTGCAATTCAGATGGTAGAGCACAGTGGGGGAAAGCACATGCATTGCCTTGGTGTTGATCAAGCGTGCATACACTAGATCGATAGGAAGGGATGAGCGTACGAATACGCGTACCACTGGCTACCTAGCTGATCAATGCAGAGGGGTCGTTCGATCTGCCTACAGACATTTTTTTACTCGTGTGTGTATGTATGTATGCATGTATGTGTGTATGTATACGTCTATATGTATGTATGGGTACATGTATGTATGTATGTATACATGTATGTATGTATGTATGTATGTATGTATGCACGTATGTATGTATGTATATATGTGTGTATATATGTATGCATGTATCCCTGTATGTATATATGTATGTATGTATGTTTGTATGTATATATGTATGTATGTATGTCTGTGGCTGTGAGAGCTAGCCGCCACTCAGGCCTTTGCGCGTAACAAAAGATAGCTAGGTGCTGGATGGTTGGTTCCTTCTATCTTGTACACGCAAATAATTGTGGCTCTGAGGGCTCGCCGTATCGGAGTCATGCGTGTACAGCGACGGACATTGAGGAGAACTGCCAGCCTGTGAGCCATGCAGCAATACGGCTTTAAGCGAAGACGACCGCTTCTCACATATACATATATGTATAAATCTATATATATGTATATATATGTACATATATATATATATATAGAGAGAGAGAGAGAGAGAAAGAAAGAAAAAAGTAGGCAGATATGCCGACGCGTGTACGTACGTATACATCTACATGTATATATGTCCATCTTATAGCTGTGGGTGCAGTTGTTGCTCTTTGGCATGGTCGTTGTTGCACGGCGTAGGTGTAGTCCTGGGGCGTGAACATCGTCGCGGGGGGTGGTTGCTGTTGCTGTTGTTGTGCTGGTGGTCACTGCTGCTTTCGTTGCATCAAATCGTTGTTTGTGGAAGTGCTTGTTGCTAGGGTCGAGGACGGCTGTAGTTGTCGGAGGTGCTTGTTAGGAGCGGGAGCCGTTACTGCTGTTGTGTTGCTGCTGCTGCTGTTGTGTTGCTGCTGCTGCTGCTGTTGTTGTTGTTGTTGCTGTTGTTGTTGTTGTTGTTGTTGTTGCTGTTGTTGTTGTTGCGGGGGGTGGTTGATGTCGTGTGTGTAGTTGTTTTGGATCAGGCTAGTTATTGTTGTGGTGGGTGGTTGCTGTGGGAGGGGGTGATTGGTATTAGCGATGGCTGTTGTCGTTGTTGTTGCTATCGTTGTTGCTATTGTTGTGGTTTCTCTACTTCTACCCCTTTTCTTCCTCTACAGACGTTTGCAGTCCCATAGGGAGACGGAAGAGAAGCTCTCTTCGTTTTTTATGTCTCGCCACGAGCGAGAAAATGGGCTGCGAAGCCACTTCTTCATATTTCGTTGTTGCTGTTGTTGTCGTTGTACTTCCAGTGCTACTTCCTTATTTTCCTTCTACAGACGTTTGCAGTCTCAGAAGGAGACAGAAAAGAAGCGCCCTTGGTTTTTATCTTCCACCGGAAGCGAGAGAATGGGTCGCAAAGCCACTTCATTCTATTTCGTTGTTGCTGTTGTTGTTTCTCTACTTTTACTTCTTTTTCTCTCTCTACAGACGTTTGCAGTTCCAGAGGGAGACAGAAAAGAAGCTCTTTTTGTTTTCTATCTTCCGCCTCAAGCGAGAGAATGGGCTGCAAAGCCACTTCATTATATCTCCTTCATGCTCAACCACGAAGGTCCTGGATCGCTGTCTAGCAGACTCAGAAAGGAGAATCTTATATCCTCTCTATCTGTTACCTACTGGTCTCCCCAACTGTGCACCGCCCTCCAAGTAAGCAAAACTGGTTTGTGTGTTTCTTCCTCCTTTTCATTTCACCTGTCGCTCTTCCGAAACGTCCTAATATCGACGCGGCCTTATTCTACATCATTTTATGCGGTATGCGGCATCCAACGTCTATACATAGATATATATGTATATATATATATGTATATAAATGTGTTCGCTTGTTCTTCATTACGCAGCATGCATGTGTATAGGAGAATCTTATATCCTCTCTATTTGTTACCTACTGGTCTCCCCAACTGTGCACCGCTCTCCAAGTAAGCAAAACTAGTTTGTGCATTTTCTCCTCCTTTTCCTTTCACTGTTCTTAAGGTAAGCACAACTGGTTGGTGACAAGTCTCCTCCTTGTTCTTTCACCCGCCGCTCTTCCGAAACGCTCTAATTTCGACGCGCCCTTATTCTGCATCTTTTTATGCGGTACACGGTATCCGACGTATACATATATATATATATATATATACACATGTATATATGTATATATATAGAGGTATATACGTGTGTTTGCTTGTCCTTGAGTACGCAGCATGCATGTGTATACACGTGTATATCGTCCCTATTTGTTACCTAGTGGTCTCCCCAACTGTGCACCGCTCTCCAAGTAAGCGAAACTGGTTTGTGCTTTCTCTCTCCTTTTGCTTTCTCACCCGCCGCTCTTCCAAAACGTGCTAGTTCCGACGCGACCCTTTTCTACATCCTTTTATGCGGTACACGTTACCAGCTGTCTATACGTAGATGTATATGCACATATGTACATATGTATATACGTGTTTTTGCTTGTTCTCGAATACGCAGCATACATGTGTATACATGTATATAGAGATCTTTCTATAAGGGAGAGAGACAGAGAGAGGAACAGAGAGACACGAGAGTTTACGTTTGGCAACATGTGTACGAGCGTGTCCTTCCACACGTATATATGCTAGTATACGAGCACGTAAGTATGGCACGCCACAAATCACATGTATACATATATGTACGTATACACACATATATAAATCTATGCGTAAAAAAGCGGATGTTTTTTCATCTCTGTATGCAGGGCATATACAAACGTACATATATACATGTATGCTTATGTAGATGCTGCACGGATACCTATAGACATTTATATATATATATAGATATAGATAGATATATATATAGAGAGAGAGAGATATATATATATATATATATTGTTGTATATATGTGTAGGCTCGTTGTGCGGGCGTCTAGCGAAGCCCTAAAGAAGCAAAGTCGAATCAAAGAAAAGGAATAGCGGGTTCTCTGTATATGTGTATACATGCATATATATATGTATATGCACATATATGTATATGCATATATATATGTATATCATATATATGTGTATACATGCGTATATATATCTGTCAACACGCAAGAAGGAGGGCAGCAGGCAAGAGACGAGAACGGCTGACAGGGACTTCCAACAAAATCAGAGACCCAGCTACGCTTACGTTCAGAATCGATGAGCAGAGGGGTACATAGAAGCCGAAATGTATGTATACATGAAAGCATACATATATATATATACATATGTACGTATATCATTTTATGAGGAACAATATCTCTTTGCATGCAGGTGGGCGTTATCCTTACAGAAGTCGCGAGAAACCAAGAAAGCCTAGAGCGCATCGGATATCACCTCTTCCTTTTTCTGCGGTAAGCGGCGAAGCATACTTACGGATCAGATAACGCTACGTGTTCGTACACACGCATACTAAATATACGTCTACCTCCATATAAGTATAAGTATATGCACCTATGTGTGTTTCCTTGTGTACGGCGCCACACGGTATCCGCGGTCAGGTGTGTAAACGATGAAAGCGACGTGCCTACGTATTCAGTTGCATGAGACTGTACGTACGCGCATGTGTATATATAATGTATAATGCGCGTACATAGACAAGGTGCAGTCATATAGTCAACTCGTCTCTACGCCTGGAACAGTGCAATGTTACGCCTACCTAGACTTTGCGTTTGAGATACGCTTACATTTTGACGTGTGTCTGTTCGCACTTGCGTTTGAGATGCGCGTGCGTATATATATGTGTGTGCATATATATTACGAGTATACATCTGTATATATGTACATATATATATATATATATGTACTGCTATGCACGTAGCTGTGATGATCACGCTGGCGTAGACATACTGCAGCATCACATCAATCGCATGCAGGATGAAGAATGAAACTCTGCGCAGCGCTACCAGCAGTAGTGTCAAACCCGAGAGCTGCAGCACGTGGAGAAGCGACAGCAGCACCTCGTGGCGCCGCAGCAGCAGCAGCATACATGTACCTCTTCGCCGCAGCAGCACCAGCAGCACACCTGTACCTTTTTGCACATAGCTGTTATGATCACGGTGGTATAGACGTACTGCAGCATCACATGAACAGCATCCATAATGAAGAATGAACCTCCGGGCAACGCTACCAGCAGCAGTGTCAAACGCGAGATCTTCAGTACATGGAGAAGCGACGGCAACACTTCGTGGCGCCGCCGCAGCAGCAACAGCAGCACCCATGTACCTCTTTGCGCATAGCTGTGATGATCAGGCTGCTATAGACATACTGCAGTATCACGTCAACAGCATGCACGACGAAGAATGAAACTGCGCGCAGCAATACCAGCACCAGTGTCAAGAGCGAGAGCTGCAGCACGCGGAGAAGCGACAGCAACGCTTCGTGGCACCGCAGCAGCAGCAGCAGCAGCAGCAGCACACATGTACCTCTTCGCAGCAGCAGCAGCAGCAGCACAGATGTACCTTTTTGCACATAGCTGTGATGATCATGCTGGTATAGACATACTGCAGCATCACGTGAACAGCAGGCATAGTGAAGAATGAAACTATGCGCAACGCTACCTGCAGCAGTATCAAATGCGAGATCTGCAGTACATGGAGAAGCAACGGCAACACTTCGTGGCGCCGCCGCTGCAGCAGCAGCAACAGCGACAGCCAGGCGGCTGCTCCGGTGCATGACGACTTAGCAACCCTGCAGCATTAGCAGCACTTGCGCCACGCCAGAAGACATCTGCTCTAAGAAGCGACAGCAGCCAGAGCCACCCTTATCTTTTTCTTCTGTTCTTCTCTGGCATCCGACCTGTAGTATCCCATAATAATACCATACATTCTAGCAGCAGACAGTTCTTGCCCCTCTACGTCTGCACAGCTTCGGAGTGTACACTAGAAACACACGTTAATGCACATATATATATAGATGTATACGTGGAAGCGTAGGTATATGCGTACGTAGATGTGTACGTACGTGTATGTGTATATGTATCCATAGACATGCGACGTCATACATATATGTATATATATATATATATATATATATATACGTATAGGTATATATATCCGTTTTCACTGTCTCTTTGTATGCAAGTATGTCTCGATATACGTACACAAAGGCCGAAATATACAAATATGCAGAGGCATATACAGGCACTGTGTGAAGCGGACTGTGTTGCTGCAGGGCCTTGGCAGTGACGACTCCCGAACGATGGCGACTGGAGGAGCTGCAGCGGATGCGCCTTCTTTCTTTCTTATTTGGGGAGATGTCACGGGCGTACGACCTGTCTGTGGACGCTGCGGAAGGTGACTTTACCTGTTGCTTTTCTCTTCTCTCTTTCTCTCTTCTCTCTTTCTCTCTTCTCTCTTTCTCTCTCCTCTCTTTCTCTCTTCTCTCTTTCTCTAGATATAGGTGCATGCTTCCCCTTCTTTACCAAGCTTGTCCACGTTTGCTGCTGTCGCTTCTTCTCAGTCTGGCTCTCATAGCTGCAGCGAATGCGCCTTCTTTCTCTTTTATTTGGGGAGATGTCACGGGCGTACGACCTGTCTGTGGACGCTGCAGAAGGAGACTTTACATGTTTCTTTTCTCTTCTCTCTTTCTCTAGAATTAGGTGCATGCTTCTCTTTCTTAACAAGTTTCTCCAAGTTTTGCTGCTGCTCTTTCTTCCCAGCCTGCTCTTCGTACCTTGTTTCCTATGTCTGTGGACTCACTGCCGTCCATGCTGCAGCAAGGCGATGTCTGCAAATGCTGCGGCTGCTGCTTGTCTCAGGTGCTCCTTGCCTCCTCTGCCGCTCGCTTGTGTTCCTGCTTGCCCGTGCTGTTGCAGGCCTACTTGCCTGTGTTTCGCTTGCGTGTGCTGCTGCTTGCCTGTGCTGTTGCAGACCTGCTTGCCCATTCTGTCGCTCGCTTGTGTTCCTGCTTGGTTGTGCCGCTGCAGGCCTGGTTGCCTCTGCTGCTGCAGGCCTGCTTGCCTATGCGGTTGCTCGCATGTGCTGATGCTTGCCTGTGCTGCTGCATGCCTGTGCTTCTGCGTGCCTGTGCTGCTGCTTGTCTGTGCTGCTACACACACTTACTCCTCCCTCTTTCCCTCTTCTATCACGCCCGCTTCCTTTGCTGATAAGGGCCCTTCGTTTCTGTCGCTGCTGCCGCTGTTAGTGGTACACCCGCAACTCGTTAAATTCTGCTTTAGCTGCTGCTCTTTCCTTCGAAGTTGTAGCCGTGAGTAAGCTCATCACGACAGCCACGCCGTATGTGTTACTACTGCAGCCTCGCTTGGCGTAGCTGCTGCTGCTGTGGCTGCTGCGTTTGCCGCTGTCTCTCCGTATCTTATCTCGAGGCAGCTGCCGCTGTTTGTTCTGCATCTACTGCTGCTGCCGTCTTTCCTTCTGCATATATGCATGCGTATATATATATACCTATATATACATATTTGTATATGTGTATAAATACAGACAAAAAAACTCTCACAGGAAGGCAGGGTTATTTGATGCTACGAAGACATATCTTGTGGGGTGCGGGTTGTGAATCGCCATATGCAGGACTGTATTACTATCCACCACGTGAAGTGTTGGCAGGCGATACACTGCTGTATACATTAGAGACAGAAGAAAAAATAAAGGAGTACGTCACTTCCTATATATGTCCACAGAAGATGAGACTATTCATATTTGACAAGAAGCTGGCAGCAGACTCCGACCGTATGGAGCGCTGGTTTCGTATAAAGCACCGAGTATCCGCGGTACCTTCCGACGCAATGCAAGAATGGGAGAGGATATACACTCTACCTGTTGCAGACGTATGGAGACTGATGGATGAGAATAGTATGCACTTCCCGAAAAGAAACATGCTTATACCGCAGACACTTACATTCTACAATCTGCGCCACTCGCAGCAGAAAAAGCAGCAGCAACAGCAGCAGAGACAGCAGCAGGGACAGCCGCAGAAGCAGCAGGAAATACAGCGGCAGCAGCGGGACCAGCAGCTGCAGCAGCAACTACAGTTGCCTCTAGTGGTGAACGTGACGCACCTACAGCAACATGAAGACAGCTTCTGGCGGCCTCCTCAGCAGTCACCGCTGCTGCTAGTACGATCTCGCAGACAAGACAGCTACCAGCAGCAGCAACAAGAACAGCAGCAGCAGCAGCATGAAGAGCAGAAACACCAGCAACAACAGAGCCCTGCACATGACAAAGTCACTCTGAAGATCCATATAGCAGGTGACCCCACAGCCGCGCAGCGCCACCCGTCCTACGCCCTGACGAACAAACAAGGGACGGATCCGGAACATCTTGCGATCTGGATTTCTCCTGCAATACAAAGAGCGAGGCCCTTATCTTCTCATCTGATGAAAGGAATCAGCAGAGACAGGGGTGCAGCATCTCCGCAGGTACACGAGGAGTTAGAAGAGGGCACAGCAGCAGCAGCAGCAGCGGGACCTGCGCACTCTGCTGGCATGCGGTGGGGGCCGCAACAGCAGCAGCGGCAGGAGCAGTACGAAGTGCGGCAGCAGCAGCAGCAGCAGTACGACCTGCGGCAGCAGCAGCAGCAGCAGCGGCAGCAACAGCGGCAGCAGGTGCAGCGGGCTTACTTGGACAAGCTGCGGCTTCCCCCGGCGCACGAAGAAGAGCCACAAGACGTGCTGCAGCTTCTCTGGGGCAGCAGGGCGCCGCCACCGCGAATGCCGCTGCTGGCACATCAACACCGCCTGCGCCACGAGCGAGAGGCGGCGGCGGCAGCAGCTACCGCCGCTGCTGCTGCAGCTGCCGATCATTACCCCACTAAGCTTCACTTTCCTGTTCGACATATATGTCACCATGCATGCACTATCTATCATAAGCTTGATGACAGCTTCCATACGCCGCGTGTCATTACAGAGCTGCAGCTGTACTATACGAGCAGTCTTCAAGACCCATTACTAGAACATCTACTGACGGATCTCTACTTTGATGCCATTAGTCTTGCTCTTCGAGAGGTGAGAAGCCATTAGTTTCGCTCTTCACGAGGTGCTCTACTGGTTACGCATGTATAGGGCAGCAGTTACCTACATTACAAACACACAGCAGGTTGCGACTACATGCCCCTACACAATGGCATAAGAGGCATCTACATAGGTATCTATGTATCTACATGCATTGCATACATATATATGTTCATACAGGGATCTAAATATGTGTGGATATGCAAAATTAAACAGGTGCATGTATGTATACATGTGGTTGTATATACGTGTATGCACTTGTACAGTAGGCAGCAGGCGAGACCAGTGCCGCTGAGTATATGTGCATTTAAATACATCGAAGAAGAGGTCTGTAGCATGCTGCTGCCAGTCTTGCTCGTAGCGCGGTGAAGAGTTGATCGTGTATCGATTGCCGCAGCGGCCGTCATTACACGCACACGGCGTCTTACCGCTACGTATGAGTTCGTAATGGCACTCCAATATATATATATATATATATATATATATATGTATATACATATGTATGCACATATTGTAGATGCCCAGATAGGTAAACACACAAACATGTGTATTTATAGAGATGCGTACATATATGTGATCTTGTATACGTCTATATATCTGTACAGTACAGAGCAATACGATGCAGCGCGTACACGTTGGCATGTGGAGACGTACGTGTATACTTCCATGTATGCATGTGAGTGTGTCTGTATGTGCACGTACCGAATCAAGCAGACACCAGCGAAAAGCAACGCGTATACACCTGCACGTGAATACATGTGTATACAGAAGTTGAAAGAGGAAGACAAGCATAGGCGTACGCGTGTACACTCGCATTCATGAATACCAAGATTGAGTCAATTGTATGCATGAGCTGGACGCTCAAGGCAGAGAGGCTGTCCGCACAGAGACGGTGTGTGTGTACATATGTATATACATATACACATACGTGCATATGTGCATAGACACGTGTATCTCGATATACATATATTCATGCACAAGTGCGCATGCATTAATACGTACGCTCCCTCGCATGTTGCCGTACAAGTGTATCTACTGGCATCTCTACTCATACCGGGCGGCACTACTGTATATACCGCGGCCACATATATCTGAGTACGTACATACATGGACGCGCATACGTGTGCGCGTATATGAATACTTCGACGCCTCGCCGTGCTCACGCTGGTGCTCACAAGATACATGTGTGTGAAGTTTCACTCCATGTATATCCGAATACAACGCATGTATGCGCGCAACGTATTACGTGTGTACAAAGCGCCTGTCTGTATACTCTTAGACATATATATATATATATGTATATATATATATACATATATATATATATGTATATATATATCTTTGTATCTACGTGTAGACGTACGTGTACGCAATTGCGTATCTGGCATTTCTCTTGAGATTAGAAGGGAAGCATTGACAACATGTATCTTGAATATCATATATAGTAGCCTTGGACTGCAGCTTGTAGGGACCTACAGCGGTACAAGTTGCTTTCCAGTAGTTTGTCTGGGTCGTCTGCTGTTGTTGCGAGCGCGGATGACCTACCGTTCTCGCTGCTTCTATCGCTTCAGTAGCTTGTCTGGATCGTCGGCTGTCGTTGCGAGTAAAGAGAATACGCTGTTGTTGCTGCTTCTACTGCGTCTGTACTTTGTCTGGGTCGTCGGCATTTGTTGCGAGTACAAATAACATGCTGTTGCTGCCGCTTCTGCTGCGTGTGTGTAGTTTGTCTTGGTCGTCTGCTGTTGTTGCGAGCACGGATGCTCTGCCGCGGACGCTGCTTCTGCTGCTTCAGTAGCTTGTCTGGATCTTCTGCTGTTGTTGCGAGTACAGATGTTATGCTGTTGCTGCTGCTTTTGCTGCGTCTGTAGTTTGTCTGAGTCGTTTGCTGTTGTTGCGAGTACAGGTAGCATGCTGATGTTGCTGCTTCTGCTGCGTCGGTACTTGGTCTGGGTCGTCTGCTGTTGTTGCGAGTACAGAGAATCTGCTGTTGTTGCTGCTTCTGCTGGGTGTCTACTTTGTCTGAGTCGTCTGCTGTTGTTGCTAGCACAGATGATATGCTGTTGCTGCTGCTTCTGTTGCTTCTGGTGCTGTTGTGCAGCGGCTCTATGCAGCAGGCGTGGCAGGCGTCTCATTTCACTTGCGACGTGGGCTGATTTTGCATGCACCGGGCCTGCCAGTCGTACATAGGGAGAAAGCAATAACAGTTGTATTATCTGGCTATGTGGATCAGCTGTTGCCTTTTCTGGAGAGTATATCCGGTGTTTTCTCCTTTGTGGAATCGCCTGAGAGGAGAAGCAGCAGCACCTGTACGGCAAGAACTGCCGCAGAGCCCCGCCATTTGTGTGCCAGGTCGCCTTCGGTGGCAGCCTCTGCATCAGCACCAGCAGCAGCAGCAGCCAATTTTCATGCAAGCGCACCAGCGACACCAGCAGCAGCAGGAGCAGCAGCACCAGCAGGAGCAGCAGCATGTTTGCATACAGCAGAGACGGACGAGAAGCGAAACAAACGTGGACCCGCACTATGTGCCTCAACTCGCGAGCTCGCTAGTTCCCGGTCAACAACAGCAGCAGCAGCAGCAAGGGCAGCAGCAGCAGCAAGGGCCGCAGCAGTTGCAAGGGCAGCAGCAACAGCAGCAGCAGCAGCAATAGAAGCAGCGGAGGAGGAGAGGCGTAGAAAGATGAATATGGTTCTACCAGGTGTTATGCAGGAGCCACCGCAATACTGGAGTCCTGGAGGGCTTGTTGAAATACGTGCAACGCAACGCAGAAGCAAGTCTCGTCGATCACAGCAACAGCCTCAGCCCCATCAAAGTGGTGGACTATTAGTAGCACCATCCCTTCTGTCGCACGCATGGATAGAGGCAGCCGCAGCAACCGATATGAGGAGACGAGGTGGTAGTACTTTATCAGAAGTAATCACCGGCCAGCAAATGCATGCAGAAGCTAACGCCACACCTGTCAGTGCGGCAAAGACAGGTCTGGCCCATTATGATCCCTCACAGCGTGATACTACGGCTTCCCCCCTCTTCCTCCTGCCTATCATGGAGACGAGAAGAGGACTACCTTTTCTCAGAAATGGAGAGAAACTCTCGCTTCTGGACAAAGCCCACCGAGGAAGACACGTTCTGTCTTTTCTATCAAGCAAGGTGAAAGCACGTACTTCATGTGCAGGGTGTACATCAACACAGAAAGAGAAACAGACAACCATA